TGCCAGCTTTCACTTTCAGTCCTGCAGGATTTCCCAACAACCTCTAAATTTGAACATGTCTAAAAGGAAACAGTGCGGTGTGTTATTAGTATTAATGTGGCAATTTCTATAAAAAAGTTATTAAAAAAACCATCAGTTTCCTATTGTTGCATTCTATTTTCAACTCTCATTTTTTATTTCCAACAAGGCAAATATTGGTTGTTTCAGTTGTTGTCAGTATAACGTCATGATAACAGTATTTCTGACTGTACAAATGTTACAGTAGCACAGAGGATAAACAGGTGTTGCTTCAGGATTTAACAGAGACGAGCAGCGTGCAGACCACTCTGACTCAGGGTCCAACCTCTGACCCTGAAGCGTCATTACGTGCAGAACTTAACGNATATATATATATATATATATATATATGTGTGTGTGTAGTATGTATTTGTTTAAAATCTATGTCCTGACAGTAGGTAATCTTGAAAAAAATGCACCTTCTCTGCAACTGTGCTAATGATGGAGAAACAACCTAATTTTACAGGAAAACTGCCAATTTCTGAGAGTTCTGAATGTTGTATGGCTTTTTGTCCACTCTCATATACTGCTCACTAGGCTGCATATTCATGGCAGGCTCTGCTTGTGGGGGAGAAGCTGTAGAGCCACAGACAGCAAGGGGGAGGGACCTGTAAGGAGTGCTTTTTCAAATTTTCAGGCTTAAGTCCACTGTTTTCTCAGAACTCCTTACTGCAGCTGTAAGGGGTGATGGTGGGTCTCAGTGCCAGGCCAACTSAGAATTCCTGCTCCATTTCACTGCAAAAACAAACAAATAAATAAAAATAATTGAAGCTTCTGTGTTGGACATTAAAACAATTCACTGTATTGTTTTTCTTTTTTTTTTTTGTTCCATCATATCAATGGACCTCCTTTAATGACCTGCCTAGAGCTACGAGTAGCAAATGATACAAATAAAGTATTTTTCCCTTGCAGGCATTGAAATGGAGATTGTAAACAGTTGTGAGCAGAACAACGGGGGGTGCTCTCATCACTGTGAGCACACCACCAGCGGACCCCTCTGTTCCTGTAACCATGGTTTTCAGCTGGCCCAAGACAGGACGACCTGCGTAGGTAGGAACTTTTGTCTATAACTCATTTGTGTCTGCCCCCCGCGCTATTCCTTCAGTTTCTATAGTTTYCACTCTTTGCTTGTTCTGTCTTCAGACAGTGATGAATGTTTCACAGCGGAGTCCTGCTGCAGCCACTTCTGTAGAAACTACCCGGGTGGCTACGAGTGCAGCTGCAGAGCCGGCCACAGACTCAACCCAGATGGCTGCGGCTGCGACGGTGAATGTGCTGGATTGTTAGCAGATTATCTAGTCTGGTGTTTTTTAGTCTTTTGTGGAACAGCTGTGTGGTAAATGAGATCCCAAATACACACTTGCTATCTTATTGCTCAGCAGTTAGGCCTTTGAAGGCCACTTGTACACAGAAAATGGAAAGCAGGTTTATATATTTTTTTCAGTTTAGTGTAAATATCCCATGACTGAAGATGGTAAATCAAATGCAGTTAATCAGGGAAAGTGAAGTATTTAAAAAATACATGAAAGTGTGCTGCAGCATATGCTGCTGAATACACAATTTAATTTTTTGAACCAGTTTGACAATATTTATGTGCTTGTTATGGACCCGAGGTCTAGGATACCCAGGACGCACAACATATAAAGTCCGGACACAAATGTGTTTAAGAAAGAACACAAGTTTAATGGTTTGAACAAAGGAAATAACTGGGAGCCCCACTCAAAAACAAACAAAAAGAGGGAGGAAACCCGAACCAACCAGCAGTTGATCGTTGGATCCATGCAACTTCCTCTTGCCCTCTGGTCCAGGGTCTCACCCTACAACCAAAAACCGGAAAAGGGGCTGGTAACTCCCAGACCAAAAACCAGGTGTCTACAAGGACCAAAACGGAGCGGCGGCGAGGCTGGAGTGCAGGACCAACAAGCAGACTTCTTCCCTCAGGCCGCTCGCTCACTGTCAGGTGGAGCTCATTTCCTTAAATCACCCTGTCGGGGCGGCTGTGGCGGAGTGGTTAGGTGAGTCGTCCTGGAACCAGATGGTTGCTGGTTCGATCCCCCGTCCAGCCGTCTCAGTCGTTGTGTCCTTGGGCACTTCACCCACCTTGCCTACTG